CAGCACCTAGGAAACATTCTTCTAGATACAAAAACATGAACCTGATTCAGCCTAGTTTTGCAGGAAATTCAAGGGACAGAGGAACATGTTAAATAACACTGCATAGTGTAATCAGCAAAACCAGAGTGTGGGAGACTTCTCAGAGAAAGAATCCTTCCCTAAAAAAAAAACAAACAAGTTGCAAGGAGAAAAATACAGAGAAGGGAGAACTTTAGACAAATATTAATGAGTTATAGTGTTTGGAGTTTATCTGGATCTGAAATTGAAAACCAAACTGTTTGAAATCAGCAAACTATACCCTGAAGGCCAAATCCAGCCCAGGGCTTGCTTCTGTAAGGCCCTCAAGGTAAGAATGCTTTGCTTAAAAAAATTAAATTAAAACAAACAAAGAATATGCAACAGACCAATATGCAGTAGAGACTATGTGTAGCCCCAGAAGCCTAAAATATTTACTACCTGGCCCTTTACAGAAAAAGTTTGCCTTATTCTAGAGATATGCGCTAAGGTATTTACAGGTGAATGGGCATGATGCCTGGAATTCGCTTCCAAATAATCCAGGGGAGTAGGAAGAGGTCTGGAAGAAACAAGACTGGCCAACTGTGGAAGTTCTGTGATGGGGCTACGTTATACTGTTCTCTTTTTTGCAAATGTCTGAAATTCATCATAAATAAGAATTTTTTTTTTTTTTTGGCGGTACGTGGGCCTCTCACTGTTGTGGCCTCTCCTGCTGCGGAGCACAGGCTCCAGACACGCAGGCCCAGCTGCCATGGCTCACAGGCCCAGCCGCTCCGCGGCATGTGGGATCCCCCCGGACCGGGGCACGAACCCGTGTCCCCTGCATCAGCAGGCGGACTCTCAACCACTGCGCCACCAGGGAAGCCCATAAATAAGAATTTTAAAATAGGCTGATCAAGGAATAAAAGAGGTGGCTCACCTGAAATGTCAGTGTGGTAGAGATAGCTAGTTGCCCCACAGTATCTGCTCTTCCTTATTAACAGAATTTTACTTGGGCATATGACCAAGTTCTGGCCAATAAAATGTTAAGTGAAAGTTCTGTGAGGCCTTTGAGGAAGCACCCCTAAATGGAGAAGCCACAACTTCCTACTCTCTTTTCTTCCTGGCTAGGTGGAATGGAGTCATAATTCATGGAGACTGTAACAGCCATTTTGGACCATGAGGTGGAATCCATGTGTGAAGATGGTGGGAAAGCAGGATAGGAGACCACATCCCTGGCCATTTTGTGAAAATGCCACGCTAGCCTTGGACTGTCTGCCTATCTGTAGGCTTCTTATACGTGAAGGAGAAATAAAGTTCTATCTTTTGAAGCCAGTATTATTCTGGATTTTCTTGCAGTCAAGTCTAACCCTAACTGATACAGTCAGGAAAATACTTCTTTCAAAATATCCCTGCTATTCAAGGTGAGTCTGGTATACAAGCCCAGCTTTTGGGTGGTGATGGTCAAATGACAGAACTGCAAGTATTCCGAAGCTTCCCCCCAGGTCAGTGTTTTTTTTTCTTCCAACTGAAAAAACGTGTGTGTGTGTGTGTGTCTCTCTCTCTCTCTCTCTCTCTCTCGTGGGGGAAGAGGCTGGAGGTCTTAGAAGGGAGATCCAAGAAGGTCTGCAGAGATGGTAAAGCAGAGTCCAGAGAGATGGGTTAAGAAGCTGTACATCTGAGATAAGAAGAAAAGGTGAAATTAGGAAGAGTTGGGGTCTTGGTTTTGAAAGGACAAACTCGTGTATCTGTTTGACCTTGAGAAGCTCAATCCTCCAACAGCCAAGACCTAGGCTGGAGGTGGTTCCTACAGCAAAGGGAAAGTGAGGGCCTTTGAATTCCTACCAGACGGTCATGACCATCTGAGTCTCAGGCTCCCATTGGTAAAGCACCTGCCTGGGTCAGATTAGATAATAAGAGAGGTCCATCCTTTGACCTGAGTTAAGTTGCCCAAGGTTACAGAGCTAACAAGTGGCATTTACATGGGGGTTTAAATGATAGATGGTACTGCACATTCAGGGACAAAAACAAAGTAATCCTGCTTTACAACACTTTTACAACCCTCAAAAGCAAAATTCCATTTAACGAGTGAATGAGTAACTTGGAAGATGGTGAGTCAGTTTACAGGAACATGCCAACACTTTCCCTCCAAGTGGGATGATGACACCCTCATGGATGTAGCTCGCCTCTGCACAGTCCTGTCCCTCCCAGCCCACTGAAGCTCCCTCACACCATGAGGACAGGAGCTTATAAGGTGTCCTAAGCCTGACGGGGACAGCGAGAGCGGCTGGAGGCCAGCTGGCCTGGAGGGGAGACACACTGAATCCCTTGGGCCGAACCATGAATCTTCTTCCTTGTGGGTGGCAGCTGAGGGTGATGGTGAGAACACAGGGTCTGGGGTCCAGCAGGCCTGGGTGTGAATCATGCCCTTGCCACTGACTACTGGTCTGCCTGAGACTGTTTCCACATCTGTGAAGGAGGGGATCACACCCACCTTGGAGGTCGTTATAAGCATTAAGTGGGTAATACACGTTAGCTATGATTACAGTTGAGACCTTAACAGCAAACGCCAACATTGCAATGTCTAAATCGTCCCTGTGGCCTTGACTGACTCCAACTATGAAAAACTCCTAGCGACACAGGCCAGCTCCTGCTCATCCTTTAGGCTTTAGCCTGCCTGTCTCTCCCTGGGGAAGTGTCTCTGATCACCCTGAAATTGAAGGTCCCCCCTACACCCAAGTAAGACCACACGCCATTCTTCCTTTATAGCACCAGTCCTGGTTATAATTATACAATTACAAGTTTTTGATTGCTGTCCTTTTCCGCCTTTAGATTCTAAGCTCCATCAGGTCAGGGACGGTGCCAGTTTTGTTTATCACTATATTCCCAATTCTATCACGCTGCCCCGCACACAGGAGTTTCTCAATAAACGCTTCTTGAATAAATGAAACAAAATTTAACGTACAGAGCTCCTCACCTAGAGAATCTTTGTTCTGGTTACAATATTTTAAAAACAATTATGGAAAAGTTCAGACGCTGACAGGTTCATAATCAATAGGTGTCTCTCGCTTTCTCTCTCCCTCCCCCTCTCTTATCCTGGTCAATTTGAAAAATCTGAGAAACTTTTCTTTTAGACAATTTTTCAGCTGATACAGTGGCACGTTAATGATTCCATAAAGGAAATGCACTTGGGAAAGTCACAAAGCTTCACGCTTAACTCTCTCTCTTCTATTTTGGATGTTCTGACTTGTTTCGAAACATCTAATTATAATCAATTTGGTAGAAGGAAGCCTTAACAATGTCACCTGAAAAATAACACTTGCCAATAACAGCATTTCCAGAAGCCTGGACAGGAAGAGCCAGGTGAGGCGAGCCCGAAGCGCACACCGCCCCCATGGTGAAGTGGGACCCAGGTCACGTCTCACTTGCCCTGCTGACCTCAGAGAGCCGCCGGGAGGCTGGAATGGGAGAATGTGTGACTGGGCGCCAGGTCTGGAAAGCAACGTCAGGTCCCACACAGCAGCCACCCTGGGCTACATCCTTAAGTCTCACCAGCCAAAACCGATCGTGCAGGACCTAGTAACCTAGTAACCGTGGGGAGTGAAGAGAACGGGGAACTGTCGGAGGACACGCTATGATGCCGCCCGGTCAAGCCTCCCTCTACGTGAGCTCCATAAAGCCCCAGCAGACACAGCAGCCCTGTTCACACAGTATTGGAGGTGGGGAGCCGCCCAGACCGCACCAGCCAACGCGGTTCATTCCGGAGCAGTGTGTAATGTCCAGCAATGCTTTCTTAGCCTCCCATCTGTAATTTTTACCCGTTGGGGGTCCTTATTCTACTCTCCAGAGCTTCTGGGGAATGTCAATCCAAGGAGGCAGCATTCAGGAGTCTAATGGCATGGTTGAGTGGGGAAGGAATTGTTTGGACCTAGGGTAAGTACCTTGGCCACAGTTTTGTACTGGAGGGTCTAGAAAGGAAGAGAACACAGTTTTTCAAGCCAAGAGACCTGTTTGCAAAGCATACATCTAGCACCACATAATTAATAATAAACAGCAGCTAAGATCTGAGTGTTTAGTATGCCCAGCATAGTTCTAAAAGCTTTATATGTATTAACTAATTTAATCCTTCCTACAACCCCATGACACAGGGTACCACAACTGCATGTATTTTGTAGATGAGTTAACTAAGGTACGGAGCACTTGAGTAAATTGCTCAAGTTCACAGACTAGTAAGTGGTGAACCTGGGATTCCAATCTAGCTGGGCTCTACTCTAGTCTAGCCCGCTTTCCACTACATTATCCGGCCTCCCATTCCCACCGCTCACAGCCCCGTCCCAACCCACAGGATCTCACTGTTTCACGCCCTACATCATCCCCTGCTCCTCATCCACTGGGACTTATTTTCTCAATTAAGGTTTGTCCCTTGGACCTCAATTCCAGAACCTCCAAGGACTTCACTTCCCGCCGTAGCGATGATTCATAATTTCCTATTCCGCCATTTCTGACTTCCCTGGGTAGTAAATACACAGACCACATCATGGATTCCAAGTACAGTTGGTTTCATTTCTTACTCACGTCAATCCTGCTTTTCTACTAAGAATCCCAGAAGTTCTTAGAACATGAAAAGGTAGCAGTTGACGTGCTGGGAGTTTTGCTAAAAGTCAGTGCAAAAGCAATTTGCACTGGGCCTCAGCTAGCCGGCAAGCGTGCACAGCCAGAGCTGTAGTATAAAGACCACCTGTAGATTGGACCCAAGGCCCAGTAAGGCTGACTGCTTCTGGAAGCTCTTCTAACTATCAGGACGAGTACTCCAAAGGTTACATTCCTGTAAGAGTCACCTGTACCACGGAGAAACAGCTGTGGCACAGAGCAGCACCCAACAGCAGAAACACTGGAAGACGTGCACTCTAATGCACAAAGTTCAGGAACAAGTTCTCATGTGATAAACACCCAGCAGGGAGGGTGCTCCCAGCCCCTGATGAGGACCGTCTGGAACCTGCACGTACCTTCACTCCGTCCAGCACGGCTTTGATGACCCCCTTCACAGTTGTCACCATCTCTTTATCTTCTGAGTTCACACCTTCTAGCATCACTTGGTCAGACCAACGAATGAGGTTGGCGAGACTTTGGTACACTCGGCTATAGCAGGAGGAGAGGGCTGAGCTAGAGGTAGAAGAAGATTTTTAAAAGAATATTAAAAATCTAAAGCATGACCATCACTTTACGTCATCTGTTTAGCAGAGAACTAGCTTCTCAGTGACTAGGGTTTCTCAATCCTTCTTTCTATAAGATCTGCACCTCCTTTTAATAAACTTTTCCTCCCTGAATCTATTTCCTTACATCCCATGAAGATTTTGTGGAGCTTTATCTTCCAGTCTGTTATAAAATTTTTTTCATTTCTCATATATAATGTATAAAAATTCCACCATGATAGTTAATATGCTTTTTCAAACTTCACATCCTCCACGAGATTCTGATAACATCTCTCAAGGAGTGCCTCATCTTCCTCTCCTTCTAGTAGGTCAGACTGTTGTACACTTCTTGTTCTGAATTAGATAAAAATTCATGTTATATTGTGTCACAAGGAGTCAACAGGTTTGTGGAACTTTAGCAGGCAGGATCCTTTAAAGGAACAGCCTTTATTTCTATTAAAAAATTTTTTTTGGATCTTAGTTCCCTGACCAGGGGTCGAATCTGCACCCCCTGCCGTGGAAGCACAGAGCCTTAACCACTGGACTGCCAGGGAAGTCCCAAGGAACAGTCTTTAAACATGAGCTCAAAGAGATCTGAAATTTACTAGAATTCCTTCTAACATGGGCTCAGCTTCACCATCCCCTGAAATAAACCATGGCTGAGATGTCAGAGGAATGCACTAATGAGGAGTATTTTAAGGAGGACAAGTCAGAGGTGAGGTGACCTGTGGTGACGGTAGGTGGGGGGAGGAGGTACCAACTTCACTATGACGCCAACAACTCAAAACAGAAGCCCTGAGCACATCTGGAGGCCCCAACGACTGTAGAGTGGAGGCCAAAATGAAGAAGTTTTATATCTTCCACGTATTTTTAAACAACTAAAGATACTTTTCCCTAGCATTTATGGAAAGGATTATTTTGCCATTTTAAATATTATGTATTACAACAGAGGTAGAGCAAAAATGTAGAAAATATGTGGGATGCTACCTCCTCCACTTAAAAAAAAAAAAAGAATGAGGCAGACATTTAGGAGCCAAAGATATACTTTTTCCCCAAAGATATAATTTTGAGAAAAATATATAATATTGTAAGATATGATTAAAACAGGTTCTAAAAACAAAGACATTAAAAAAAAAAAAAGCCTGAACCAAACAATGCTCTAATGAGAAGCTCTTCAGAATCAGGTAAGGAGGAAGAGAATTTCCAGGAGGTCTGAAGTCTCCACTTAGCCATTCACTCGGCTCCGTGCATGTTCCGGCGGGAGGAAAGAAGAGTCAGAAAGAATGAAAGCAGCTCCTCAAGCCCCATTAAAAACAAGAAAACTTTACAAAAGGAACCCCAAGAAAGCCAGGGTTTGGCTGCTTTAGAGGACGATACAAATGAAAAGTGTTTGGTGTCAGACCTATTCTCTTCCGAAGGAGGACTGAGAGAATAAAACACAACTTGCAGACCTGCCGGGGGGCCGGACCATAGATGGCGTCGTCCTGAAGGGGGGGTGTGCTTCTAGCAGCTCTGTTCCTCCTCCCTGGCAAGGCCAGGCTAGGCCTCTTGAAACAAAGACTGTGGCCTCCCACCCGCAATTATTAAATGAAAGAGGTGGGAGGGGTCACTTTTACGTGATACTTAATTCCTACCTGCACTGGATGTTAACATTTCCCTGAAAGCACCTAAAAATGTTGGTAATTGTGTCCACCCTTCACATTGTGAGCTTGCAAGAAGAATATTCCTGTGTCTTAATGTCACGGGAAGGACATTAAAAAAGGAAGGAGGGTCTTGTACCATCAAAATGTCCAGTGGACCAGTCGTTGGTCTGTTTCTGAAATGGAGCAAAGCTGTCTGCACTGAGGGCAAGCAGGGATCCTGCTCTCAAACATCTCTGAATGTTCCACCGTTAGGAAAAGCCTCCATTCATTGCCCACACTGAACAGCCAGACGCTTGTTCACAGGTCCGTCACCACTGCCCTCGGAACCTAGGGGAGCGTGGCGAAGAGCCTACCTGCTAGGGCCCAACCCACAGAGAAGAGGCAGGAAAACACCCTCCCAGCTAACAAATGCACAGGAGGATGAGATGATGGAAGGAAGCTAAAAGAAACATTTGAGGAGCATTTTAGATCATCTCAGGGAGATCAATAAAAGTATCATCAACGGGCTTTGGAAGAATTTCAGGAGGAACAAATCCCTTAAATGGTATTAGCCAAAGGACTACAAAGAAAAAAAAAGAAAACATTATTCCTTATGGCCACACCCAGGCATTTCTCCTTTCCCCTCTAGAAAACTGTTATAGACAGCAAGTAATTTTTGTCAACTATAAAGTAATTACAAAACCTCCCCATGGACAAAAAATGCCCCAGACCATTGTCCTATTACGTGGTCAATTCTTCCAGGGCCTGCATGTCTAGAAAGTAACTTCCCAAGCAGAGTTGCTGGCTGACACTGCAGGAAGCGACAGTCCTAGCAGCAGCGCCCTGTCAACGCTGTTACAGGGCTCAGTGAAGGTGACTGTCCTGGACGCTCCCAAAGAGGCCTGGCACGTGAGGGGATCCGCCCTCATTTCCCACAGCGCCGCCCGTCGGCGCCCTGGTGTGATCACACTCTGCTCACAGGACGGCTGGTCTCGTCCCTGCCGGGCACACTGTGCCCGCTGGCCTCAGTTCCTTTGCTCTCCTCCTTCTCCTGCCCCCACTGCCAATTCAAATCCTGCCCTTCCTTCAGGTCCAGCTGCAGCATATCCTCCCCCAGGAAGTGCAACTCTTGTAAGTCTCCCTCCTTCAAAGTCAAACAGAGCTTCCACTCGGTACCATCAAATCAGCACTGTCATACAGTAGGGGAGTTGATTTTTTCAGATCTGAACTCTCCCACGGTAGGTCCATCCCATGAGAAGTGTATGAGAGCATTTCATGAAAGCTACCTGTGCGTCTGAAACCCAGCATACTGTTAAGCACGTTTCCTCAAAGGAGAACAGCCCCGGGCCTGTCTACAAGCTGGGCACTGGGCTACCTATTGGAAAAGCATGGTGCTGGTCTCACAGAGTCCTCCATATGGAGCAACTGAACAAGGCACCAAAGGGACTCGCTTCCTCAGAGGCTTCTTGTACATGACAGCAGCCTGGACTGGAAAGTGAAGACAGGGCAGAGCAAAGCCCTACCAACGCCTTATCCTTCCCCGCCAAGTGGCTTCAGTGAGCTTCCAGCCAAAAGACCACCATCTACAGGGGTCAGCAGAAGCTCCAGGGCAGAGAGCTTCTTGGAAATAAAGATACTGTTTTATCTCCCAGAAGAAGAAAACTATGCACTTCACTGTCAAGTTCTGAAAGCAGTTTACAAAAGCTTAGCCTCATGGGGCTACAAGGACACTAAACCATCTTGAGGAACTGAAACAGAGAGATGTTTATCCTGAACAGGTACCAGGGAAGAAAAACAACGCCAGCAGGCATCTGACAGCCTCTCAGGAAGAAGCTCCTGATAGGCTCTCGCTGAAGATTACATTTAATACTGCTTTCCTTTCTGTATTTAACAACAAACACAGGGGCAAGCCGCTCACTAACCTTTCAGAGGAAAACGAACTCTAGCAATAAAAGCATTACCCCACAAAAGCTGACTACACTTCCATACCTGGCTTCCAATGAATCCAGGTGCTGTTTGGGAGGACCTGGCTTGATACAATTAAATGTTTCACTAATCCATGCTCTAATGGGATTCTTCTCTACCTCTTTTGGCCTAATAATCTAAGCAGCCAAGGTCTCCAATAGGTTACATATTGGCAGGATTTAATGTCATAATAAACTATGGTTAACATAGGGTACTGGGAAAAATGGGTCCAAATCAATGTGATTACTGCCAATGAGCTGGCTAGTACGAAAAAATAACCACAGACTTACAGCGTGGCTACATCCCTAGCAATGGTGGCGATCTTCCTCAGTGTTGAGGCCTCATGAGTAACAATGATGACCTCAACCTTGGAAGAATACCAAGCGATAGCCATGGGGTAGGGGTGGGGGCAGGGCGTGGGAGGGCTCCTTCTCCTCCTGGCACTCCTCACCGGTCCTAGAAACACTGAGTGTGAAACGCCCCTGAACCAAGGTGCCACTAGGCCTCCACTGCTCTGACACAGCCCAGAGCAACTCACCTGTGCTGAATTCGAGGGTCGCTCTGCACCAGGGGTAAGATGGCCTCCAGCACCTTGCTGGCAGACCCTGGAAGCATCTCCAGTACCTTCTTATCAATAGCCATTTTGTCCACAATGGTCTTAAAGTAGCGCAAGGCACTGACAACCTCCTTCTCTTTCTCTTCCAGCCAGCTCAGGTTCTGAAAGGAAACGTTAAGAGTAAGGAGGGAGGAGAGAGATTAAAGGGAGCAATTTTAAAATAAATAAATAAAATAAAATTTCCTGCCAACTAGTTTGAGATTGACACCAATGGAAAAGGCTTCTTGCTGCAGAAAGCAAGCCAAATTGTTTTTCTAAGGATTGCAATCAGGATACAGAGGCTAGACTTGAAGGAAGAAGAAGGGGCTGACTGAGAAAGGTTGTTTAGATATTCCTAATTCCCTTCCCGGACAGAGACTGATTTGCCCTGGGGTCTCCACCTCAACCACACTGAGAAGTCACCACTGAACTCAGTAAGTGTAGTGAGGACTAATTTGCTGATGGCTGCAGGATGCTTACAGAACCAACAGTTAAGTCCCAACGTGTGTATCTATCCAGTAAGTCAAATCAAGGCCTTTCAAGGTCCTAGGGGCTGTGTAAGACTGGTCAGAGGCATTAGTGCTCAGAATCCACTCTCCCAGGACTCCTCACTAGATTCCCACATTTGACCAGAGACGCAGCCCCTCTCAATGAAATGATATGGCTCTCCCAAAGGACCTGGAAACCCTAGGGTTAGAAGGGGCGGGACGTGCTGGGGTGAAAAGGTGAAGAAGCTGGACAGATGGCAACAATTCAATCACTACTCCTGCAGCATATGTGGTAACAGCACACAGGGTCCCTCTGCCCCTGAGGAAAGCCCGCCTAGGAGGAAAATAAAACACAGAGTCCTGTACTTCCCAGCACTCACATTCCCACACCCAAACCTTTTCTCCTTGACTGTGGGATACCTGGAATGCACAGACAGTGGGTAAACGCACCCCTTTGGTTTCTTTCTCCAACCTCTCCTTATACTGACCCTAATGTCAACAACCCAGGTCCCAGCTGGCTGGCAGGGAAAGGGAGATCAAGAATAATCTATAAAATGGATAAATCCAAAAATGGATAATCTACTCAAGTAGAATTGATTACACGTCCAGGGCAAATTACGAGTGGTACGTATGAGGAAAACTGCCACCTGTGGGCTCTTTGAGGTCCAGAGAATATTCAAATAAAAACTACCGAGAACAAGAAGATAATTTCTAGAAAAAGTAGATTTAAAACTATATAAGGGCTTCCCTGGTGGCGCAGTGGTTGAGAGTCCGCCTGCCGATGCAGGGGACATGGGTTCATGCCCCGGTCTGGGAAGATCCCACATGCCACGGAGCGGCTGGGCCCGTGAGCCATGGCCGCTGAGCCTGCGCGTCCGGAGCCTGTACTACGCAACGGGAGAGGCCACAACAGTGAGAGGCCTGCGTACCGCAAAAAAAACCCCAAAAAACAAACACAACTATATAAATATATAAAAAAGTGATACACAATGAAAAGTGATTATGATTCTGAACACCAGCTCTTTTAAAATAATGAGGAATGTCATTTTAAATAAAAAATTTCAATAGTGGATTTTATGGGAATATCAAAGGAAAAATATATAAATGGAATCAGGAAATAATTAGCTCCTTTCATCAGACAACTTTCAAAAACCCGATCTGATCTGTCTCAGTGGGGGCACTTCCCAAGAGGTACCCTGCAGGCCACCATGATACATTTCTCCAAGGGAGGAAAAAGACACCCCTTCCCCATCTCCATCACTGTGGCCTCTTTGCTGTCACTTATTTTTCTCTTCTCACTACCTGACACGTTTGTTTATTTACTGTGTGTTTCCAAGAGCCAGGCACTTGCTTCTCCACCTCGTGGCCCAGAGCGCTCTGCTTCGCCATGGCCTACACGGGGCTGAGAGGAACCTCAGTATGAAGGAACTCATGGTGCCTTGCAGACATCAAATGTGACTAAAACCACTCTGGCCAGTTGAGCAAGAGGACTCTGGCTACGACACTGCCATCTCAGCACATCAGGACGCGCAAGGAGCCAGCAGTGACAAAACGTTGGGGGGGAAGCAGGAAACATTTTAAGAAAACGTGTCACGAGGCTTGCTAGGGAGAAAGGGGCTAATCTGGAGATGGGAGCCGTCCAAAAGCGGCAAGGCACTTCACAGAAAAAAAGAGAACTCTCCTGTCATTTGCAGAGAGATCAAATGAGCCACTGAAGAGCCGGGCTGCACTGGGCTCCTAATAAAGGAGCCGACAACCTGGCAGAGTCAGGTTTCATCCATTAACTCTCCAGCAAATTCCACTCCCAGAATTAATGGCCTCTGAACGCTGTGCATTCCCCTAGCCCATCAGCTGTTAAACTATGGCTTCTCGCAAAACACAGCCAGCAGTCGGAAGAGTTTACAATGAGACACCCAGACCGAACACCCCCAGGAACAGGGAACCTGAGGCCGAGGCCTCAGAGAGGCAGCTGCATCCACCTGTACACCGGCTCCTGCGTCAGGGGTTAGATGCCACCACTGGTGCAAACAAACCTGGAAACTACATGAGGCCAGCGGTGCTGGGGAAGGGCCTCGACCCAAAGGCACTGCTGGGCTTCAGGCTCCTCATCTGCAAAATGCGGAGAATAACGCCTGCCCTGGGTGATCTAAAGAGGTTCGTGTGGGGGGCTGGGTGAGAATGCATATGGAAGCACTTCATAAAATTAAGGAAGGAAGAGATTTTGATTAAGAAAACTTGGGCCAGAGCCCACACTCTCTGTATACTGGGAAGAGTGAAAGCTTGTGCACATGGTCAAGGTGAGGAGTAAGTAAGACGGCGCGTGAAATCACCCAGGATAGGGCCCGGGCAAAGAGAGGCCTGTAGCAAGTTGCAGATGGATCCATATCTATTTCTGTCTACCTGAGTTGCAATTTCCCATGTAATAACCCGGGGAAAATGAGAATATATATGGAAATACTAAGTCGTAAGACAGCTAGTAAGTGATAATTAAGGATGATGGCAAATGACAGAGTCGGCTAAGTTCACACACCCTGGCAGATTTCCCAACACTTCCTGTTCTGACTGTGGGCCTCCACCATGGGTTTATACTCACTTTGTCTCATGCAGGTGGCCTGGGGCAGAGCACAGTAATTCAACCCTTCTTAAAGGGCAATGACCAGAAACCAGGGTAACACTCTTCCTTGGGTGAAGATCACATCTATAGCTCCTTCCCAGAGAACAGTTTCTCAGCCATGGCACTGACATTTTAGGACAGAAAATCCTTTGTTGGGGTGGGGGGGGAGGCAGGGTTGCTGTGCTCTGTATTGTACGATGTTTACCAGCATCCCTGGCCTCCAGCCAACAGATGCCAGTAGCACCTGCTTCAATCTCCTAGTTGTGACAACCAAAAATGTCTCCAGACATTGCCAAATGTCCCCTGGAGTTTGCAGAAACCCCCACTAAGGAAAGGGTACTTGAGCATCAAATTTCCCCTATGACCTCTCTTGGAGTGATGAAGAAAGGGGGAAAAATTCCAAGAAGTGAGCGGCTGAAACAGTTTCTTATCAGAGTTCACTAGCAAAACACAGTGGTTAGTAAATCATTTTACTCCGGGCTGCCTGGACTAGTGTCAGATGACAAGTGACACTCTTCCTGGCGTTTAATATAAAACCCAGTTCCAAGGGGTTGCTAAACAGATTGCAATAAAAAATAATTGTGGTACAGACCAAATCTTCCACTTTATTACTCTTCTTCAATCTGGAATTTAGATCAATCTGGCAAACACCGTATATTTCATTCTTGCTCTCTATAGCCTCTTTTTCTTAACAGATGGGGCAGGAAAAACGATTATTCAACAAAGACTCTGGACTTAAAACCTATTTTCTCCACTTTTAACTAGACTTTTAAGATATTCTGCTGGTCAACATAAAAACAAAAGTAGATACACTGCAAAATTCAAGAGTTATGTGTTTATATAACAGGGTAGTGTTTGCTAGTGGCATTAAATTGACAGCTGTGACAACAGTTCTACAAACTACACTGTGGACAGTCACTGAAGGGTTCAGAATCTACTTATCTACAAGGCTTGTCTTTATTTTACACTGCTGAGTTTAATTTTGTTTTTATGTTCAGTTACGTGTGGGAGCTAACATTAGATTTCTTAGATATTAAAAAATAAATTGACTTTCATAAAGAGTAACTGTAGCATCGAGAGAGTTTCGACTTGATGTCAGATGACCTGTGTTCAAATCTCAGCATCACTACTCTTCGTGTGACTTTGCCCAAACGTTTAATATCTCCATACTCCCAGCTTCCTTTTCTGCAAGATAAGTTTCCACCTTCCAGGGTTATAATGAGAATTAAGTGAGAGAACGAGTGTAAAGCACATAGCATGGGGCTAAAAAAGGCTTGGTACATGTTAGCGGCACTAAAGGTGTCCCTGGCTCTGAGAGCGCTGGTTCCGCACAGTATCATCACACTCACGAGTCTCGGGAGATAGTTAACAGAGTACCTTACACTTTAGATGCCCTTCCTTTTCTCAACTATCCAGATCACCTTAGCAACTCAAGGAAAGAACAGCTGGTCTTAAGAGATGAGATTCACCCGCTTCCCCCGAACCCGTTGGACCCAAGCAGCACACCCAAACCAATCCCCAAAATCCCGGAGCTTTCGCCATGGAGTACTGAGCTCTCTCCAAAGGCCATGGGGGCTTGGATAAACTCTTACATTTATCCAAGGCTCCTTGGACTGTTTCCTGAACAATTAAGCCCACAGTTGCCACCCAGCTGAACACAATGATATTGCAATAGATTTTTTTTCCATCCCCAAAACCATGGGCCAGGATTCTGCAGTAGAGGGCAAGGCAAACCCAATTGTTCTTAACATCACACTGACCTTCTGCCTTTGAGACCTGGAAGCCACAGCACTGGTGGACATAAATTCTACTGCCTGCTGCTCCAGATCCAAGGGGATAGGGTAGCCCTCTGGTAGAAATCTGTCTGTTGCCTCCTGGAAGAGAGGAAACCTGGATTCCTACAGAGCTTGAAATGGCCGTTTTAGGCTGAAGGGAGGGGTTGATGAAAACCAACAGCTGTTCCAACACATCTGGCTTGACTGGCCCTGCTGAGGTTACTGGTGTTTGAGGACATCTTTGGCTGGGTTTCAAGGGTTTAGCAAGTTTCAGAGCATGGGCCCTAAAGCCGAATGATGGGTGTTCTGGACATCACGAATCTGTGTGTGTGTGTGTGTGTGTGTGTGTGTGTGTGTCTGTGTGTGTGTGTGTGTGTGTGTGTGTGTCTGTGTGTGTGTGTGTGTGTGTGTGTGTGTGAGAGAGAGAGAGTATGTGTGGGCAACGTGGGCCTCTCTGGGGCACAGAGGCAGCATCCTGGAGTGTGAACATGATGAGCTGAGCTGTTTTAAATGCCCAGAGGATGACACAGCTGGAAAAGAACTGTTCTAGCCAACCAAGCTTGACTCTGATTAACAGGAGAAACACTCAACCATCCTAAAGGTTCATATTCCACAGGGACAATGAAAGCTCCGCCTGGAGCCGTGGAATGCTATGGAATAGGTGTTCTGTACTGAAAGTTCCATCCCCAGGGAATAAACTTAAAAAACAGCACAAACTCATTGCTCAAAGCAGGTGAAGGCCAGGAGAAACACCTAGACAGTCAGCTTACTTTGTTCACAGGCTTCTCTGGAATCTTCACAGACACCTCAGCTGGTTTTCCCTTCTTTGATGGCGTTCTCTTGATTTTGGGTGAGTGGAATTTGTCCATCAGCTTCATGGTGAAGGAGGAGAGATGAGAACGCTGAGAGTCTGAAAACAAAGAAGGTAATGAGTTTTAGAGGTACAGTGGGAAGAAGCTGTGGTTCTTTGACCTTTTGTGGAAATCAGCACCGTCCTCAAACAAAGCTTTCCCCCTAGCTGTTCAGGGTTACAAAGAAAAGGAAATATGGATCCATTAACCATTTCTGCTTGCATGTTTCAATTTTTGCAATTTCCATCTAGTCTAGGTTGAAAGCAGTCAAAATGGCTTTGGAAAACGAACGTGCAAATATTTCCAAGTGTCCTTATAGAGTTTGTCTGATGATCTAACCAATGTCCAAGGGAACCGGCTAAGATGAAAGAATACCAAAGTAGAATCACAGAAGTGCTGGATGTAAGAACTGGAAAGGAAGGCCCTTTTGAATCAACCTTCTCGTTTTCTGGTTTAGGGAACTGCAACAAGTGACATGGGTAAGGCCTCAGAGCTGGCAGTGGAGACTGAAACAGAATGAAGGTGTTTGAAACCCTCGGGGACACAGTGAAAGACTAAGTGGTTTCTCGCCAAGATCAGGAACAACATGAGGGTGTCCGTTCTTACTACTGTCATTCAATTTTGTACTCTCTTACTCCAATAAAAGCCATCCAGATTGGAAAGGAAGATATAAAACTATCTCTATTTGTAGATGACATAATCCTGTATATGAAAAATCCCAAGCAATCCACTAAGAAACTACTAGTACTAATAAACAAATTTAGTGGGCTCCCAGGATACAAGATGATATACAAAATCACATGCAAGATCATATACAAAAATCAGTATTTCTATACATTAGCAAGGAACATATAAAAAACGAATGTCTAAAAAGCTTCCATTCATAATCATCAAAAAGAATAAAATACTTAGGCATAAAATTACACTTAAGTGAAGTACTGATATGCTATATCGTGGATGAATCTTGAAAACATTATGCTAAGTGAAAGAGGCCAGTCACAAAGACCACACAGTGTATGACTCCATATATCTGAAATGTCCAGAACAGGCAAATCTATAGAGATAGAAAGTAGATTAATGGTTGCCTAAGACTGAAGAGAGTGGAGAGGGACGGAGAGGGGCTGCTAGTGAATAAGAGGTTTCTTTTGGTGGCGGATTAAAAGTGTTCTAAAATTAGAATCTGGTGACCATTATACAATCCAGTGAATTACTATAAAAAAAAAACTTGAATTCTACACTTTAAAGGAGTCTGTTATGTGAATTATATCTCAATGAAGCTGTTAAAAAAAACCTAACCCAATGAGCAGCCTTCTTTCATTTACCACCCGCCATTTACCATAGCACTTTCTACTGTTTGAAACCATCTTATTAAATTATTTACTTATGTGTTTATCTCCTCACAAGAATGCAAACTCACTGAAGGCTGCACCTGCCTTGTTCAAGCTTGCATCTCCAGTGCTAACATGGTACCTGGCCCATAGAAGATGCTCAGGAAACATTAATTCAACAAATGAACAAATCAACCAACGAAAAAATACCCCACGAAGGCTTCCCTGGTGGTGCAGTCGTTAAGAATCCGCCTGCCAATGCAGGGGACATGGGTTCGAGCCCCGGTCTGGGAAGATCCCACATGCTGCGGAGCAACTAAGCCCATGCGCCACAACTACTGAGCCTGCACTCTAGAGCCCTCGAGCCACACTGAAGCCTGTGTGCCACAACTACTGAAGCCCACGCACCTAGAGCCCGCGCTCCACAACAAGAGAAGCCACTGCAATGAGAAGCCTGGGCACCACAACGAAGAGTAGTCCCTGCTTGCTGCAACTAGAGAAAGCCCACGTGCAGCAACAAGGACCCAACGCAGCCAAAAAAAAAAACCCAAAAAAAAAGGACTGCTTCTTTAGGCAATGTCAGAAATTCACAGGAAATACTTGAAATTGATTGAAAATTAGGGAGAACGTGATCCTATGCAATGGAAAAAGAAGTATCTGTATTTTTTTTTTGGCTGCGTTGCGTCTTTGTTGCTGCGCGCAGGCTTTCTCTAGGTGTGGTGAGCGGGGCCTACTCTTCATTGTGGTGTGCGGGCTTCTCATTGCAGTAGCTTCTCTTGTGGAGCGTGGGCTCTAGGTGTGTGGGCTTCAGCGGTTGCAGCACGTGGGCTTCAGGAGTTGCAGTGCGTGGGCTCAGTAGTTGTGGAGTGTGGGCTCAGCAGTTGTGGCTCACGGGCTTAGCTGCTCCACGATATGTGGATCTTCCCAGACCAGGGCTCAAACCCATGTTCCCTGCATTGGCAGGCAGATTCTTAACTACTGCACCACCAGGAAAGTCCCCTATCTGTATTTTTAAAATAAAAAATACACTCCCTTTCAATCTTCCCAGCAATTAAGTACGAAAATACCAAAAAACAAAAAACCTTCCAAATAAATGACACAGCACCTTGTATTATAGGTATGTCACTGTGTCTACTAGTGTTGCATATGACTTCATAGGGCCAAAGTTCAATTCTTTTGTCAAAGACCTTCCAGGTGGCAGGCAGGATCAGATAAACGATCTGCCCTTTGCAATTATCTAGGAACCCACTGCACTCTGGACCAAAGAGAAAAAGCCAGGGCCTGACCTTCGTTCATAAGTGGAGTCAAACCAAACACAGCTTCACAGCTGTCTGTCTGCTGGCCAGAACTGCAGAAAGCCCTTCTTAGAGCCCCAGTGTGGACACAAATCCACAGGAAGCTCATGCACCTCTCTCCTCACCTGGAACGGCTCAACGCAGGGTCGGAGGGGCTCTCGGCACCAGTCCTCAAACGCTGCATCACCCCTGGGATTCCAAGCAGGTAAACTGGGATGGTGTGATTGCTCCAGCTCCCCTCTTCCCCTTCCCCACCCAAGCAGGGTGGGCCCCATGTACAGTTTATACTTCCTTCTTTATACTTCGAAATGATGTGACCAGTCTAATAATTCATGTGGTAGTTAAGAGGGTGAGCTTTGCAGTCAGTCTGTTTGAGTTAACAGACTTCAGCGGCACCTCTCCAAGTCTTAAGTTTCTTTGTCTGGAAAACGGGGCTGATAACATTGTTCTAGAAACGGCTGATGTGATGTAGGTTAAATGAGATGCTGCTTGTGGGCAACGTGGTGAGGTACTCAGCCATGTGCTGGGCACACAGTACCTGCTCAATGCAGGGAGCTAATTAACCCAACTATATGATTTGGATGGGTAGCAAGTCTGACCAAACTTTGAATTCTTACTTCCCAACTGCTTACAGATCTGAATCAGGATACTCTGCAGCACTGAACATCTGACCCACGATCCCGAGGAACTGAGGGCCTTACACATGCCCCTCTCCTCTTCCTTTAGTCCTGACCAGAAGTTCATCTGTGTCCCTCTCTGGTGCCTCCTTCCATATTGCCTTTATTGCTGCCCCCATCCTCCTCCTTCGGATGCTGGCCTCAGCATCCCGAAAGTCTCAGCACATCCCTCACCAGACAGGTTCCCCAAGTCAGATGTTAGGGTGTGACTTCCACCCTGGCAAGCAAGACTGAAAGCGGGGCAAGAAAAGGAGACACAAATGGGGAAGTAAAGGCAGGATGCATGATTTCTTTGGTGGTCAAAAATGTTCAGAGACATGGGCTGGGCGAGCCAACTTCCGCCTCCTCTGGTCTGCTGCCCCGAGTTGCTATATGGGTAGGCAGGGGGCCGAGGGACTGGCCAGATTCACATCTCTGCCATCATGACCAGGGTGGAACTAGGGTAGGCAAACAAGGTATGGGGGCTCCCCAAAACCCCTGATCATGACCCAGGGGTCAAGTAAGGACACCTCCACCTGAGAGCAAACACAGCCCAGGAAGTATATCACAACATACTCTCTCAACCTCTGCTTTGCCAAGCACGGCCCGAGACTCTGGTCTGTCTTGGCGCACAGCTGGGATCCACATCAGCATTTAAAGAAAGTGTTACACCCACCAATAAATCTCTCTCCTTGTAGTATTTAACAGCCTCAGAGCAGCCAGCTCTAGCACAAGATGTGATAAATCAAGTGGAGGAAGCAGGTTCTTTGTAACGACAACCAACCTCCTCAAGCCTGGAAATCAAGGACAGCACTAACTAGGGAAGATTTTGACTTGGAGGCTGCTTGTCACCTTTTCCTTGAAACAACAGCTTAGCAACACAGATTTCAACACAGGTTTCAGGAGACTTGCAAGGTCACTCAAACTATGCATTTCAGTGCTGATAAAGCACTATAATGACCAGTGACAGCAGAGTGGAAGGAAGCAAAGGTGGCAGCTATGTTGGGGTAATCTTGCCAACAGTACCCCCCCACACACACACTTCCTGCCCCTCTTCTCACATTCCTCATGTGTATCAATCATCTTGGGTAGAGGGCAACGCTAAAGAGATACTCTCACACTACTACAGAGTTTCAGGTGACTTTAATGACCACTCTCTGACTTTTCACTTGGGAAGTTGTAAATGTATGTGTTTAGATATTTTCTAGTACTGAAATTAAAACAAAATTTTGAAAGATTTCATAATACACATGTACAACTTACAGAGAATTCATCAAATCCATGCATCCACCAACCCAGACGATCAAAGAGAAGCGTGAGCAATGACGAATATCTGCACCATCCAACGTGACAGTCACTGGACTATTGAGCACTTGAAATGTGCCTAGTGTGACTGAGAAACTGAGTTTTTATTGAAATGTAATTAAACAGCCACACGAGACTGGTGGCTGCCGTACTGGACAGCACGGCTCTAGAAGCAGAACATTAGCAATCTCACTGCTGCCACCACATGCTCCGTCATAATCATATCTTTCTTCCCGACGATGGGTAACCGTGGTTTTGATTTTTGTGCTTATCCATCCCTTATTTTTTAGAAAATTTTATTATTTAATTTATTTATTGATTTATGGTTGCGATGGGTCTTCGTTGATGTGCAAGGGCTTTCTCTAGTTACAGCGAGCAGCGGCTACTCTTTGTTGTGGTGCACGGGCTTCGCATTGCAGTGGCTTCTCGTTGCGGAGCATGGGCTCTAGGTGCGCAGGCTTCAGTAGTTATGGCT